TCATGGTCTTATAATCTGCATTTATTTTTACCTAATTATCCCAGCGACTCCTGTATGAATCGTCCAGTGATTCATTTGTTCCCAAACCCCTCCTTAGCGCAAAGCTAATCTGCGCTGATTGGACCGATGACAGTCTGTTGCGATTGGTCGACTGCCTTCAGTCAGAGAGTGAAATGCCAAACAGCTAATCAGCAATATAAAAGTAATCACAGTTTGTTCATACACGCTCGATAGTGTAGGCGTGGATTTTAGCTGCAAGTGGGTCAATGTAAATACAGACTATGGACTTGAAAATTCAGACGACTAACTATTTTATTGAGCAAAAACTCCAAAAACAGTTGAGGAGATCTCCTAGCTTCTCACTCTGCTCTTTTCACAGACACACACACACACATATTGCACACACACACACATATTGCACACACACACACACGCACTTAACTCTGCTCCGGACGACAACGCGCGCGCACACACACACACACACACACACACACGCACACACACACACACACACACACACACACACACAAACACACACACCTCCGGACGACAGCGCGCGCACACGCACACACAGACACACACACTACTCCTCGTCAACGGAGCTCCGTTAACAAAGCAGCACGAGTCGCGTTTTTAACGTGACTTTGCACGCGATAAGAGAATATAGCCAGTTAACCTGATACAGTACACGCGGTTACAAGTAACAAATCACAACTAAATACATTTGCAAGCTCGAGTCAACGAGGCAACAACTTTAATCGCACATACTTACACTTGAGAAATGGAGGAAGAAAAATCCATCCTGACGTCCATCAGTAAGTTACTCTTTACTGATCCTTCCTTTAACAAACGCAGATGAAGTATTCTTTGTAGCATGTAGCTTCCAGAAGTTTCCAGTAGTTTCCAACTGCTTGGCTATAATGCTGATGTTTCATCTTTGGGTAGAGACTCAATATATCCATCTGCAGTGTGACTTCAATCGACCGGCATGTTTGTGTGTGTGTGTGTGTGTGTGTGTGTGTGTGTGTGTGTGTGTGTGTGTGTGTGTGTGTCTGGGTTTCTGCGTCAGAGAGCGGGGCCTCAGGTTTGAAATCTCCCGGGTTTGCGCGTGCACGTGAATAACTTGGTTTCGTTCGTACGTCATGGCGAAACACCTAATAAATCGGTATCAAGGTGACTCGTTTGAAGCACTATGAGTCGACTCTTTTATAGATGAATCAACAGTTTTAAACACTGTACACTAACAGATTTAAGCCTTAGCTGGATACTTCACTTCACTTAGAGCTGTGTTACACACTACATGGAGGGGAGTTTTCAAAAACCCATAATATGGGCTCTTTAAAGCATTTCAAAACCACAGTATCAGCCTGGAGTTGAACCCACTATCTCCGCATGGTAGTCAAATACCTTAACCACTTCACTATATTACTTGAAAGTTTATGCATACAAAGTGGGGTTTAATGCCTCAATTTGCTCAACTGTTCTTCGCTGAAGCTGTTTCAGTGCAATTCATTAAAAAAATGATCACTAGGTGTCACTGTAGAGTGGGGCTTCGAAACGTTTCAAAGCTTCGACACATTTGCTTAGACTGTTTCAGTGTTTCACGAAGCCTCGCTTTGCCCACCACTACCCATAGATATATACACTAGATGTTGCCTGGCCTATTGTTGTCTATTGGACGGAATGTGTCAATAGCGCCGCCATCTTGCTACAGGGTAGCGCTCCTTTGAAATGAATGCGGGACCAAGGTACAGTGGAGGACTGTGGCCATCCAAAGCCAGAGATATACACATATACACGTATATCTATGATCGGGAGTTTTTTCTGGATGTTAGTATGTAATTTTTTTTTCTAATTACGAAAATTATAATTTTACATCACTTTTCTACATTGATGGATCAGTGACCGCACGGGCATTCCTGACAAAAAGCTTGTGTTTGTGTGTACAGAAATGTACTATTCACCCTCCCTGTTAAATTTGATCTAATCATGTCCTGAAACACAGCTCCTCTCCTGCTTTCACCTCTCATACTGACGGAGGGAGCGATTCGTTTGTGAATGAATCCCCCGAACGACTCTTTCACTAACGTTAGCCGACAATAATACACGTTTCTGGCAGCGCAGCATCTCGTTGTCATATTTCTTTTGCATTGTTTGCTGATTTTATTCAACAAAACTAGCATAAGCCGAGTGTTTAGTGCGAGTTGGAGCTGCTTTGCCGTATGGTGAATGCAGTAAGTGACTGTATTATCATCAATAACGTTACCTGATTAGCACAAAAGTTCAGAACATACAAAAACAGAAAAAAACTTAATATTACCTATGAAAAGTTCTGCCTTTGTGCTTTGATTTCTTGGTTTGCTCGTTACTACACCCGTAGACAGCTCTAAAGTCCCGCATCTTCATGTAACGTCAACGTCTTGACTAGTGCGGTTGAATGACATTTGTCCTGGGAGCACTGTACCAATGTGGCGCCGCTATTGACGCATGCTTAGGGTCCCTATGCAATATCTAGTGTATATATCTATGACTACTACCAAACAGGACTGGGGGAGATGAAATACAAGAGGTATAATCTTCTGATCAGGGAGGACAGGTGACACGCGTAACTCTCAGACACAAAAACAATTATCAAGCACAGAACGAGGGAGAAGGGGAGACTAAATAGCCTAATAATCAGGGAGAACAGGTGAAAGTAATAGGGACGGGGAAACAAGGGAATTGATAACAGGTGAAACTGCATACAAATAACTAGACACAAGAGGGGGACAGAGAAAACACAAAAAAACCAGACACAAGACTCTACATGATGAGATTTGTTGTGATAAGCTGTTTACACCAGACAAAATATAAATACAGCCATTTAGAAGCACAGAAATTGTGCATGCACTACACTCCAGCGAAATGCTAAGGTTTATAATCTAATTAATACATATTAAACCTCTTCAACATGATTAAATGCAGATGTTGAATCACTGATATGTGTTGAGTCACAGCTCTGAAGTTCAATTTCAGATGGTTTATTTTATTTTCCAGATCTGAGGTGAACTATCTGCTGCTGCTTTCAGTAGTATGGCAATAAGTGTCATGTGGCCTTGACTTGAAAATTCAGACGACTAACTATTTTATTGAGCAAAAACTCCAAAAACAGTTGAGGAGATCTCCTAGCTTCTCACTCTGCTCTTTTCACAGACACACACACACACATATTGCACACACACACACATATTGCACACACACACACACACGCACTTAACCCTGCTCCGGACGACAACGCACGCGCACGCACACACACGCACACACACACACACACACACACACAAACACACACACCTCCGGACGACAGCACGCGCACACGCACACACAGACACACACACTACTCCTCGTCAACGGAGCTCCGTTAATATAATATGGGCTCTTTAAATTTTCAAGTGGCATTCAAACGCACATTATCAGCATTTAACCCTGAATAAAGCACATGAGCTGTACCTGAGCTGATCAGTCTCAGTTTTCTGTTGTTCAGCTACAAGAACTAGAAGCCTATTTCTTTGCTTTTTTTCCCTTTGAGATGTTTTCGTGAGATTCAGTCAAGCTCCAGCGCTTTGTTGACTGAAGAAATAAATGAATGGAAAGATCAGGGAGGCTTAATGTGTGGATTTTCCAGGATGGTAAGATGAGTAAATCAGTTTGGTGTTGAACAGGTGTTAAAGATCCTGACCTTTAGACAATTTCCTGCCAAACAACACACACGCGCACACACACACACACATACTTACCGTCACATATACAGATGCTGAAAACACACAAAGTAGGGCTGCACGATATATCTCAAAATTATCATTATCGTAATAATAGTATAGGCAATGTAGTATATACACTCACGGCCTCTTTATTAGGTACACCCTACAAGTACCCCCTTTTTCCTTCAGAACTGCCTTAATCTTTCGTAGCATAGATTGAACAAGCTACTGGAAATATTCCTTCGAGATTTTGCTCCATATTGGCATGTCTGCATGCCTAAATGCATTGAGTTGCTGCCATGTGATTGGCTGAATGGAAATTTGTGTTAACGAGCAGTTGGAGAGGTGTACCTAATAAAGTGGCCGGTGACTGTATGCACTATTATATGTATCGTAGACCTGTAATAAACAGCATTCATTTTATATGCATTGTTTGTTTATCTAAATTTACCCAATCAGGTAAAGTGGTTAGCACTGTTACCTCATAGCAAGAAGGTCGCTGGTTCGAGTCCCGGTTGGGTCAGTTGGCGTTTCTGTGTGGAGTTTGCATGTTCTCCCCATGTTGGCGTGGGTTTCCTCCACAATCCAAACACATGCACTAAAGGTAAATTGGATAAACTAAATTGGCCGTAGTGTATGAGAGTGTGTGTGAATGTGAGAGTGTATGGATGTTTCCCAGTACTGGGTTGCAGCTGGAAGGGCATCTGCTGTGTAAAACATATTCTGCAATAGTTTGCGGCTCATTTCACTGTGGCGACCCCTGATGAATAAAGGCACTAAGCCAAAGGAAAATGAATGAGATACATTGATTTTTATTTTGAACCGTCACCAGAGGGCAGCATAAGTCCTTGTTCTATATGTTGCTTATGTGATTTACAGCAAATGAATGAATGACTTTTTATTGACTGTGATGCCATTGAAGGGTGGGGTCTGTCATTTTTAATGTTTTGATTGGCTCATTAGTTTTTTAGAGGGCGTAGTTTAATAAAAAAAATTCCTATATTACCCCAACTTTACCCTAATTAAGCCTTTAAATGTTGCTTTAAGCTGAATACTATCTTGAAGAACATCTAGTCAAATATTATTTGCTGTCATCATGGCAAAGGTATAAGAAATCAGTTATTAGAAATGAGTTATTAAAACTATTATGTGCAGAAATGTGTTGAAATAAATCTTCTCTCCGATAAACAGAAATTAGGGAATAAATATACAGCATGGCTATTAAATCTGACTTCAACTGGATCTTTATTATGTCCTCAGGACCTCCAGCAAATGCTTCAAACAGGTGACGATGCTGATAGTGAGCGAGATGACCTCAGAAACCTGCGAGAGACCGCAGAGAAGTATCCAGAATATCAAAGCTCATGTGAATGATCTCCTGGCGTGTCCTCTGAGGAGATATCTGAAGACTGTGGATAGGCCAGTCATACAGTGGTACAAGGTACAACACGCACTGTTCATCTCCAGACTGAAGCTTTCTCATACTGTAGAGGCCTTTAAAGTCTTGTGATATCAAAATTATGTTATTGAGATGTCAGTATCTGTATGTTAGTTATCAGGATGTACAGTGCATCTGGAAAGTATTGATAGTGCTTCACTTCTTCCACATTTTTTTATGTTACAGCCTTATTCCAAAATTGATTAAATTGATTTATTTCCTCAACATTCTACACACAATCCTCCATAATGACTATGTGAAAAGAGGTTTTGAAATTGTTGCAAATTTATTAAAAATAAAAAGCTGAAAAATCACATGTACATCAGTGTTTACAGCCTTTGGCGTGAAGCTGTAGATTGAGCTCGGGCACATTCTCTTTCCACTGATCATTCTTGAGATGTTTCAGCAGCTTCACTGGAGTTCACCTGTGGTCAATTCAGCTGATTGGTCATGATCTAAAAAGTCATACACCTGTCTATATAAGCTCCCAGGGTTGACGGTGCATGTCAAAGCACCAAATAAGCATGAAGACAAAGGAATTGTCTGAAGACTTCCGAGACAGGATTGTCTGGAGGCACAAGGCTGGGGAAGGTTACAGAAAAATGTCTGCTGCTCTGAAAGTTTCAATGAGCACAGCGGCCTTCATCATCCGTAAGTGGTAGATGTTTGAACCAGGACTCTTCCTAGAGCTGGCCGGCCATCTAAGCTGAGTGATCGGGGGAGAAAGGTCTTAGTCAAGGAGGTGATCAATAACCCGATGGTCACTCTGTCTGAGCTCCAGCGTTCTTCTGTGGAGAGAGGAGAAACTTAGAGAAGGACAACCATCTGTGCAGCATACCACCAATCAGGCCTGTATGGTGGAGTGGTCAGACGGAAGACACTCCCCGCCTGGAGTTTGCCAAAAGGCATCTGAAGGACTTTCAGACCATCAGAAACTAAATTCTCTGCTCTGATGAGACTCAAATTGAACTCTTCGGAGTGAACGCCAGGCGTTACGTTTGGAGAAAAGCAGGCAGCGCTCATCACTAGGCTAATAGCATCCCTACAGTGAAGCATGGTGGTGTTGGCATCATGCTGTGGGGATGTTTTTCAGCAGCAGGAACTGGAAGACTAGTCAGGATAGAGGGAAAGATGAATGCAGCAATGTACAGAGACATCCTGAATGAAGACCTGCTTCACAGTGCTCTTGACATCAGACTGGGGCGACGGTTCATCTTCCAGCAGGGCAATGACCCAAAGCACACCGCCAAAATATCAATGGAGTGGCTTCACAACACCTCGGTGAATGTCCTTGAGTGGCCCAGCCAGAGCCCAGACCTAAATCCTATTGAAGATCTCTGGAGAGATCTGAAAATGGCTGTACACAGTCGATTTCCATCCAACCTGATAGAGCTTGAGAGGTACTGCAAAGAGGAATGGGCAAAAATTCCCAAAGACAGGTGTGCCAAGCTTGTGGCATCATATTTAAAAAGACTTGAGGCTGTAATCGCTGCCAAAGGTGCATCAACAAAGTATCGAGCAAAGCCTGTGAATACTGATGTACATGTGATTCTTCAGCTTTTTTGTTTTAATAAATTTGCAACAATTTCAAAAACTCTTCACATTGCATTATGGGGGATTGTGTGTAGAATGTTGAGGAAATAAATGAATTCAATCCATTTTGGAAAAAGGCTGCAACATAAAAACATGTGGAAAAAGTCCAGCACTATGAATACTTTCCAGATCCCTTATTTGCACAAGACGGCACCAGTGAGTTTTCGAGACGCAAGTGTGTGTGCGCGTTTAGTTCCGGTTGTATAGAACTATGAACGAAGAGATGAAGATTTCGGCGACAGGAGAGAACATCCTCACTGCATTGCTCCATACCTCAGTGCACTAATTTGATTTAAATTTCCCCAGTTGATGCTAAATTTTGTGCTCAGTGATTACTGTTTGTTTTGTTTTTTGTTTAGCTTTTTGCCTAAATTATTAAATAATTTTAAGCTTTTACATCGTAATTTTAGCTTATTTTAAAACGTTGCAGCGCTTTAAATAACTTTAATCATATTGATAATTATCCAGACCTTTCGGCAAATCCACTATTATATACTGTATATTTCACAGAAGAAGGAAATTACATGTTTAAATTAGTGAGAAACTATTGCTATATTTCAATTATTTTTTTCTATCCTTTTTCTTGATTCCCAGAACTGTGAGCTCATTCAAGAAGA